GGATTATAACATTGCTATGTTCCTTCTCCCTCTCTAAAAGAGCCATTCAGTCAGCTGAGAGAGTGTATGAGAGACTGAAAACACATCACAACACCTCAGATACATCTCAGTGCATTGCAAATTGTTTGACTAAATGGAATGATTTTCCACAATTCAATGCATGGGCAAGGCTTGACAATCATTAACTTCTGGAAACTGTTATTAGGATAATACAGTCAACTCACAATACCCTACACAAATGTCTGACAATCAAAATGGCTACACCAGGGGAAAAAAAAGTGTAAAGCACAAGTCTTTGGCTCTCCTTTAAAGAAAAACAGCAGTTTACCATGTTTATACAGATCCCCTGTTTGCCTACCAGTAGGGGCAATATCACATTTGTGCATCACTGAGTAATAACACCATTAGAAAAGGCAACTTCATAGAAGTTATTGGCTAAGCGAATTCATTTGAATGCTCTGTTTTGAGGCAGCAAGCTGTCACTGTTACACAATCAGGGAGGGTGGATGGGCAAGCCACAGGAGAAAAAGACACAAAAAGGGGAGAGACGGCTCAGAAAAGACGACAGAGAGAAGAACTTGAGAAGAACAGGGATAAAAGTGCTGCTAGCTTGAAAGGTGCTCTGATCTACAGAAAAAAAAAAGTCCTACTCTGCAAAAGGACAGCATGCAAGAAGAGCAGAAGAAATAGTTTAAACTTCTCCTATTAAGAAAAAAGAACTAGGTCACAGGACAGACAGATGAGATGTCGACAGAAGGAGGGAAATAACACCACAGAATAAACAGACATCATCTATACACTGACTGAATCACTGACACACTGAAGCTTAACCTACCACTTGAAGCTTCCTATTCTGAGGGTTTGTCCATGCTGTCCATCTGGCTGAAACCCAAATATCAAGACTTGTCTGGTGCAGCAGAAAATGTAACCTACCTACCAAAGGATGCAGCAGTGCCCTGACACCATGGTAATACTGCTGCTTCTTGCCCAACAGAAGGAACTAAACCACTTGGCAGCCAAGACCAATTTCACTGAGGTGGCCAGAATTCCTGAACAACTGGGACAATGATGGGCTACAGGAGTGAGTGCAGGAAGACAGAGTCACTCCAGACATTTTCATGCTTGTAAACATCAATGCTGCCACTACTTACAGAGCTAGCTGTCCCCCAGGGTCTCCCAGTTTTTCCACAAAACTGGAACATTTCAGGTGCAATTTCCAGAAAAAAAACTTAAAAGCATGCACTGCATTTTGCTGTTTTATTTGTTTAATCAACTAAACTTCTGCAAAAAAAGCAGAAAAAGGGTAAGAGGAAGAGGGGATGAAACAAAGTTGAAAATCAATACCGTTAGTAGATACTAAGTAAACTATTTAACAAGCCAAACTATAATTCTGGGCAAACAGGGCATTCACCTGAACACATTGATCACAACAAGGACGTTATGCACAAAGTACAGCACAGAGAGCTGGATGAAGGAGAAAAAAACCCAGTAAGGTCCCCCTTCTAATCCAGAGATTTTGGAAACATTCATCATATGTAGGCCAGTAATCTAACATAGTGCTTACTGAAGAATTCCAGGAGAAAATGTGGGGAAAAGAATAATCCCTAACTTGGTTAAGGAACCAGGAAATAAAAGGTAAAGAGGTTTTTGCCCCTCTAGATTTTCTTCCTAGTATTACAAATGAATCTGTAGTGTCCAACCTATCATAACCATCTTTGAAAATTAATTTTACACCCACAATTACTACAGTTAAAAAAAGGCACATTCTGGGCTTGTCCTCCTAGATTAGAATATTGCACTAATTATCTTGACTAAGATGAGCTCCCTGTGTTAATAAAGACACAGCAGGAAGGAGCAAACTAATTAAAATTAAGGAGAAGGCTGACCTGAGGGTGGTGCTCTGTACTGAAGGATGAGAGGGCCCAGGGCCTGTGTCAGGTGACTTGGAAGCAGGCAGCCAGGAAAAGACCTTCGTCCTTCTCATGCCCAGAGCTGAGAAGGGAGGAACAGACCTGACAGGCTCCCAGCTGCATCACCCCAGTTCTGCTCAGCTCCAAGGAGAGTGGCTGGAATGCTTGGCTTCAAGTAGGAGATACAGATGGATAGGGGCAAGGGGAGATGAAGCTGTTTCAGTGCAAAGTTGATTCTTTGCCAAAAGTTAAAAGAGGCATTAGAAAAAAAGCAAGCTTCAAACTACTCCAGGCAATTAAGAGGCCAAAGTTCAACTAAGAGTGAAATAAACCAGTGTTAAGACACACGGAAAGTGTGGTGGGGGTGTGCTAAAAAATGCTTTTATTTTCATTCAGTGCTTCTACCTCCCAGACATTTGATCACAACAGCTGCGCTCATGCGAAAAAATTCTTAAAACATACCCAATATATATACAGATATAACTATGTATATATGTATATATATATTTATATATAAATTTTTATTTAAATAAAAAAGAAAGCTCGAATCCCAAGCCAATATGTGTATCAAATCCTTGACCAGCCAGGTCTGTAGGGCATAATCAAATTCAATGTGAAATAGTATATAAACGCGGTGCCTTGACTGGGCAAATTAAATAATTGCTACTCAAAAGAGTCTTCTGTTTGGACTCTCCTACTGGTAGGCAATAGTGAGACTGTATCCCCTCCCACCCCCCTGTTGTTTTATTTAACAGTATGATGAATGCAAAGCTTAGCCCAAGGTTGCTAGAACCTCAGCAGGAGTTAAGGTTAAGGAAAGAAAACTAAAACCCAAGAAAATTTATTAACTCTTGCTTTACCCAACCAAAGCAATGCAGTAATTTATTACATAACCAGTGCTTTCCCACTTAGTAGTCTAACCCAGAAAGAAATAATGAGGACAGGCCAAGAAGGTAGAGAGGGAGCAGCACTTGAAAAACCATTCTCAAGAGGTCTTCATATCCAGGATCTTATCTCAGCGTATGCCAAAAAAGTAAAAAATGTGCAGCAAGAACAAAATCTTTAATCTAAAAAAAAAAACATCAAAAGACACTTACTGCTTCTCTGGCTTATGCCCATAAAGCATCTACTTGGAGAAGTATTAAATCTATCAGGCAAAATTTGCTTCTCAATAACTCTGGCAAGATCTGTGCTGCACCTTCAGTGCAATTCTTCCCCCATGGAACAGGAATCCAGGGTGGACTCACTGCAGCCCTGACAAACTGCAGGTTGATACTCAGGTGTCAGATTCTAACACACACAGACCTTAAATAATGCCAGCCTTTGAAAAGGACCACACCTTTGCAAAGACTCTGTCATTTGTAGTTTAAATTCAGCAATTTAAGCAAGAAGCTCAGGGTAATTTCCTAGCCACAATGGGAGGAATTGTGTCAAGATGAAGTTTGCTGCACATCTTTTGATGCTGCAATTCACAGCTACTCTCCAACCTTCATTCCTTGTTTACCCTTAAATCATACAAGGAAGTGGCCAACTTGTTCTAGTAAGGTAAATAAGGAATTATGCACTGGGTATGTAATAATACCAAAATAAAAGAAAACCTACTTCATTAAGATCATACAATTAATCAAACAGAGTATATATATATAATATCTTTTTTTTTTAAGCCCTGGGATTCAAGGCGTCCAAAGTTATTAAAATAAAGTTCATTCACAGAACAAAAACAAATTTAATTTGAATTGCTTGCAGATACTGCTAATTTTCATTTTTTTAATTAAAAAATGCGTTAATGTGAACTATGTGCAGGATTTGTTTCTAGTAGTTGTGTTTGTGCACATTGCCTCTGGACCTGCTGCTCTGCTACTACTGCTGCTCCTGGGTTTATCCAATCATCCCTGGAAGAAAACACCCGATGGAAGCTGCTGCCACCCCAGCAGAAGGAGCTCCAGGGTGTGCTGGCCTCGCTTCATGGAGCAGATGTGGGTGTCACTCCCCCTCGCTGGGAGTCATGGCCATCTCCTCCTCCCTCGGGGTCCTCTGCCAGGCTCAGAGATGCCATATTGTTTGACAGGAGCCCAATGTTCTCTTGGGTCAAAGCTGATCCATTCGGAACATCACTGCTGAAGGGAAGTTGAAGAGAAGGGAGAAGTGGGTGAAAAGTGGCAATTAATGAGATTTTTCCTTCATTTCTAAGTAAGAGGACTTCAGTGTACATATTCTAGAATATTTAACTCACCTAATAATAATTTATATTTCCCTCCCTCTGTTTTTAAAAATATAAACAGTTATTTTGATTTCATTACTTTCACAGCACCATATGGAAAAATTAGTTCCTGCTCTGGTGGTGTCAATCTGATGGTGCAACACAAAACTCAAGAACTGGTCATAAAAAGAAGGCACAGACTTCATCAGCAATAATGCATTTATTCAGAAGATGCTCATTCTGAATAAGTATTAATATTCCAAGCTGCTCACATGAAGTTAGGTAAGCATGCAAGCTTCTCTCTTCAGTGCTGGCCTGAATACACATAGGTGCTTGTGGCTGTTTGAAAATACTTGCTGTAGAGACTTCCAGCATTCCCAAAAACATTTTATTCCAACTATTAAATGTAAACTGAAATCAATCCCAGCATCTACACAGATAAAAGTCCAATACTGACAGCTGAAAGTGAATGTAGCTTCAAAGTCTGTGCCTTCCTAGACAACACCCACATCACGAACATTAGAAGGATGGAATACCTTTCACATTTGGGAGATTTCTTTTATATGAAACCAAAACAGCAGATAAAGATTTCTTTTGTGGTGGCTGTGTAACTCCTGCTTCTCCCTACTAATCACCCAATACTGACCAGATGGATTCCTCCCTGCAAGTCTTCTATTCCATTAATTTATATAGTCTTATTCCACTCACCTACTCCACAGCTAGAGAGGTCCTTAATTCATACCTGCACTATAAAAACTTGATTTTTAGTCTCTTTGCCTAGTAGGTGCTTCCTCATCATAGCTGATGTGAGGCAAGGGTGTTTATTCAAGAAGAGAGTGGCCCTGAAGAAGTGGCTCCTGTTACACAGAGAGGTTGAAGGTCCGTGTTACCTGAATGTCAGTGTAAGGTCCTCAGCTGGAACCTTGTTTTGTGGTTCTAATTGTCCATTTTCTGTCTGTTTAGTGGTGCCCAGCTTGTTTTTCATATCCAGTGAAGATTGGCTCTCCTTTAAAGAAAGGACAGATGAAAAATTCTTTAAGAGTGCATTGAAAGAACTGGAGATTTCATTCCTTAGGGACGATGAAGAAGGCCTGTAAATTGCAGTCACAGTTTAACCCACAAAAGCCATGAGACAAAAACAGACTTTTAGATATGCTCATCCTCTCAGGACACAGTATTTCCCAAAAGGAAGGGATGATCCTTGTAACAACAAGCAAAGGCCACAGACTGTAACAGCACACAGACTCCTGAACACTAGCCCGTACCTGCAGACAATGTCTCCTATGTTAAAGCAGTTTACAGAGCTCATGGCACAGGGACCTTGGAGACAATTTGATTTCCATCAAAGTCAGCACCACACTTCTTTCAAATGGTGACAAACTAACATTTAAAGAGGCTACATTAAACTTCTTCATGAAGAAGACTCCAGAAACTCCTCAGGAGGTTTTGAAGAATAGAGGTGAAGAGGAAGATGGATGACTCGAGCTGTGAGCATCCAGCAGGGAGCCTTTCTGCCAGGGTGAAGGGGCTGCAGCCAGTTCATGGCTCTGCACTGCATCTCTGCCTCCCAGCCCCCCAGCACTCACCATGCTCAGCTCACGGGTTCTCTTGCCAATTTCCCTTTCCACCTGGTGTAGCTCCAAGCTCAGCTGTTCACTTGAGATCATCCCAGGCCACTTGGGAGGTGGGGGTGGGGGCTGTGGTTGGCCTGCCAGGGTAGTCGCCTCTCTCTGCAACAGCAGCCTGTTACTAACAGCCTAAATGCATAAAGCCAAGCACATACACAACTGAGCACACAGCACACCAAGCACAGAGCGCTCTAAGGCCATAATTCCAGAGTACTGCTCGTTTGCAAAACCAAGGCTGCACTTCACAATGTCCCAATTGAAATCACTCCCAATGCAAGTTTCAACATGTTTCTGTAGACATGGACAAGTATTTTAATTTTTACACAAGCAGTGTTAAATTCCTCTTGCTGTCATAAATTTGCATGTGTTGTCTTCATGTGTCACTCCCTTCTCAAAACTAAGACTAAGCCCAAGAACAAAAACATTACTCTCTTCTGAGCACTATGTTCAACAAAAAAAACTGCAGATAAGCAAATCTGCTGCTTTATTTACAGCAGTAGAATTTATCTAATTCTACAGCAGAGCCAGAATTACTATTACATCATCTTGAGAGATGTAGCTGTCAATATGTAGGTCTCTACTGACCACATTAGGAAACAGAGGAACAGAGAGGGGCAAGTGACTATGGTCATTCACAAGTTGCAAGTTACTAAAAGCAGTAGCCATGTCAGCCATTCTAAAACTCTGCTAACACATGTGAATCAGTTCTGCAAGTGTGGGCTCTGCATTTAAACACATCATCTTGCACTCCACACAATCCAGCATTTGGCTGGTCTTTAAGTAGAAATGCTCATACAATGCAAAAGCAAAATGATCTAGCTCTTCATGCTTTGGCTGAATTGATTGCTGCAACCCTGTAGTAGGCAAACCAGTGAAGACTCCTTGATTTCCAACATCTACATGCAGCTTTAAACATAAGAGATCAACTGAAAGCTGTTCTTAATCAAAATAACTAATTCTGCAAAATTCATATTATGCCAAAATCAAGACTCAACATTCAACTGAGCAGGATTTAACACTGACACAATCACAACAACGATGAGCAGGAGAAGGCCACTTACAGGTTTTGCAACTTTCCAGTACTCTTGTATTATGGCAAATGCAGACATGCAAGACTGAAAACATTTTCTCCTCTCATTCCCAAACAAGAGCACAGGAACACAAGCTATGTTTCAAGTAACTAACAAATGCATATTACTGCAACTACTGCTGTGACTTAATTGTGAGCTCTTAAACTAATCTGCAATAACCCTCCTCTGTAACATGTTTTCTTAACTAACCATAGCTTCAGCAGAAGCTGCTATCCACTACTTACAGCATTTTCTTCTGGGAAAATATTAACACAAATAGTTGCTAAAGTACCTAGAACTTTAGGTAAATACCTAGAATTTCTGGTAAATATTTACTGATTTTTCCTAAGAGGAAAAAATTAACTAAGGCTTTCTACAACTATTCATTCATTATAGCTTGACATTACTCCTGTCTCACAAAATCAAAATATTTCAGCTCATTAATTCTTTTACAAACACATACTCATCTTTCCTTATGCTACATTTTTTCTAAGCAAAGAGCCATAAAGTATTAAGCCTTAATTTTTCAAGCTAAATGTATTACATATTTACTTTCTTGACTCTTGTGGTTTGTGCTATTTAGGAAGAAACAGGTACAAACACAAAGCCAAACATGAAATAGATGAAGCTCATGGCTTTCTGTACATAAAATTAGACATTTCCAGCAGCAGTAAAGTCAAGAAGAACAGGCTCCTACACCTCAAGTTTGCCTCTGAGTAGAGCTGAACACAGGGGGAGTGAAAAAGAGTAATAGCAAACAAGACTAAGCACAGACTGCAGACTCAAATATAGTGTTGGTGTGCATGTGGAGTGCAGAGAAGTTTCTGCTGCTGAGCAGAAAAGCTGGAACTTGCACCACAGCCCTGATGCCTGGCATCACAGGATTAAGTATTGCTACTGAGTATCACTACAAAGGTCAGCCCTTGAAAGGTTTACCAGCCTCATCTCCCTCCACCCCACCCCCCAGTGCTGCTCCAAACGCTGGTACCAACCTCCAGCCCCCTCATTTGGGTCTGCTGGCTGATCTGATGGTCAACTTGCTGCAGCTCCATGCGCAGCTGCTGCTCCCGTTCAGCTGAGGGCAACTGCTTCCCATGAGCAGCCACATCTGACAAGGACAGCCTCTCCCTTTGGGATTGGAAAACAAGGAGATTTCAAAAAAAAATCTTTACTCCACTGGCACGGAAAAAAATAGAGAAGAGAAAATTTAGAGAAAGGCAAAGAAAAAATACAGCAGTCCTACCTGTCATTGAAACGTCCCTGAGAAGGTATATTTTGATGAGGAGAATATGGAGAGCCTCCCCAGCCACCGTGAGTTTCATAAGGACTGTAGTCTACCAGGGAACAGAAGAAAACCACATTGCATTACTACAAAATCGCCCTTTCAGTCATTCAGCCAACACAGAACTAGACAGAGAAGAAGAAAGGCCAGCCCCTTAATTATGAGAAGTTGAACATTTCTTCTGATTGAATGAACACAGAAATACTCTCCTTGACCAGTCTCACATGCCTAATACACGACTCTCCCTGTATGACTAACAGTCTGTGACAGCCTTCCAGAGTCTGAGATTGTGAAGGACTTCAGATACTCAGGCAGATGAGCAAACACAGAACAAAACTTACAGACATGATGATTGCAGTTATTTTTACTACTGAAGTTCCTAAAAGACTCAGCAATTCATTGATAATTCTGATATATCTCAGTAACTACAGTTTAAATAGTAACACTTCAGGGAACTCAGAGCTCTACTTGTAATAAAGTGTAAAAAATTACTGCCTGAAAGAGCTAGAAGCAAGTTTGGGGGAATATAATAATTCAGTATTTTCTTAAGGTTATGCAGTGCACCTCAAGAAAGAGACAATCTTTTGGAGTAAGACAGAAGGCCATATTATACGTGTGATTAGAACATAGATGTATTGGAAATGAACAACTTCTACTTTTTTGCTTTGCCTAACAGTACATGAGACAATGGCTGCATTAAGTTTGCAGGAGCAGCTACCAATAAAGCAGGAGAGCAGCAGTACAATATTCCATCAAGATGGTTTTGCATAGTGTATTTGAGAAAATGCAAGGCTTCTGGATTCTGCTGCTACAGATTTATAACAAGCTTCCTATCAGATGGACTAGCAGAACAAAGTAGCTTCTTCCAAACAGCAACAACATATCTCTAACAAATACACTTGTATGCTATAACATGTCATGGAATCACTGAATATGTCAAGTTGGAAGGGTCCCATAAGGACCACAGAGTCCAACTCCTGGCCCTCCACAAACACCCCAACAATCCCACCCTGTACCTGAGAGTACTGTCCATACACTTCTGGAGCTCTGGCAGTCCTGGGGCTGTGACCATTCCCTGTTCAGTGCCACCCCCTGAGGGAAGAATCTTTTCCTGATATCCAACCATACCCTCCCCTGACCCAGCTCCAGTCCTATCACTGGTCACTACAGAGAAATCAGGGCCTGTCCTTCTGCACCCCTTGGGAGGCAGCTGTAGACTGCTATAGGGTCTGCCCTCTGTCTCCTCTTGTCCAGACCAAGCGATCTCAGCAAACTGTGGCAACCTTGTCCTGAATTCAGTCTTCTCAGTATAACCCTACCTGCACTTATTTTAAGTGGCATTAACACACACCACAGCTGTACTTCTAAGACAAGATACAAGCTTAGAGGGCTTGTCCTCAAGACAAGTAAAGAAAATAGCAACAGCCAACAAAATACAAGAGCACAGATCATACCTGAAATGATGGATTTGGTGGCAGCTCCCGGAACTGCCATGGCCTGCATGGGCCCAGAGTTCTGGTACATGGCTTTGGAAGTACGGGAGATGGCCCCAAATCTTGACACAGTTGGGCGGTCTCCAAAGGGAATGAGGTCATCGTCCCCCGCCTCGGCCGCGCGCCGCTGCATGTCCAGTCGCTGCTCACGCATGGCCTTGCCGTCCACATTCTGCACAACACATGGAAAAGGCACTCCAAAACTCATTCCAAAACCAACAGCACACGTTCCTCTCACAACAATTTGGTAATTGCAGTTAGTTTCTCTTGTATTCTCTATCCCTTCACTTTTCAACTAGTTTTTGTAGTCAGAGCGGACATCTCCTTAATGGTCTACCTTTAGGTACCATTACTACACCACAGTGAAAAAGCTGCAAAATTAATTGTGATCAAATCCAGAAGAGAGCATCAGCAAATGGAAACTGAGACAGAGAAAGTCTAATGGGAAGAGAAGAGAGGGAAAATCTCCCCCTCATATAAACTCAAAGAAGAGACCAGTGGGCATCTCTGAGGAATACACATTCCTTCTAGAATCACAAAGAAATTTCTCAGAAGCGCAGTGCTAAGAATTGTATAACCTAACAGCCTGCAAATGACTCAGAATGGGAGTTTTTCAGTACCACACTTACTTGGACATGTCTGGTATATCTTCTCAGGCACTTTTCATAAAGCAGCACTACTGTTTGGAACATCCTGGTTTCTAACTGAGTTTCAGACTCAAACACCTTAATGGGTCAGCATATGAGGAGAGAAGTGTTCACTCTGTCCTCCAAGAGCTGAGTTAAATAGGAAAGCTATCTGTTGGCTACCACAAAATGGAACATGGTAAGAATTGCCAAAATCAAGTTAAGACTGCTAAAGAAGTAAAACTGTGCACACTAGAACAAAAAAGCAAGGTAAGTGGGACCACTACACCAAGAAAATTGTCTGAAGGCTACAACCTTTGGTATAGTCCAAATAATATAAAAATTAATAATAAAATTTTATTTTATAACAAAATAAAACTCGGCAAGCTTTCAGTGGGGATAAGGATTGCAAAAAACAGTTAACATATCTGAGGCAGGAATAAAGGGGTGGAAATGGCAATAACAACTAAGTTGGAAGCTAAACTCAAGAAATGTAATACTTAGAAACGGAAACATTAGGGAAAATCTACTTTGGAATTCTGGAAAAAAAATACATTAAAAAATACATTTAAATCTTGAGGCCATAGGATGCTAGTACCAATTTTAATATCCTTCTATTTACTCAGTAAAACTGCATGTCATCTGCAGAATATTCAGCATTATGCACTCAGGTGATACTACTCCTGTACTTCAAAAAAAGAATCTCTTATGAATTAATAAAAAAAAAAATCACTGAAGAATTAATTCAGTAAAGGTCTCTTGATAATTTTTTCCTGTGAAGAGGCAAAACCTGAAAAGCAGCAGAGATCCCATTTTGCTTATCTGAAAATTAGCTCTTAGGGCAAAGAATACTTTGTTTAGCCTTGAAAAAGGAGGTTATTTCTCTAGAACCTTATTACTCCTTGTAACTAAGCTGCAGGTTTTTTACACAGTTTTCTTGCAGCAGGGATGAAAGCCAAGAGCTGTTTATCACTCCTGGATGCTGCCACTTAGACAGCAATAAGCTGATTCCAAGTAATCTCAGTACTTCCCCAGGTCAAACGTGGCAGTGTGGTAACTCCAGGCAACCACACTGTGTAGGACTGAGAGCAAGAGGACAGGTAAAAAGCCCAAAGTTGCAGATGAAATGCAATTTTTTGCTCTGCTTTTTTCAGTAGAAAGCCTCCTTTTTGGGTCCATTTCCAACAGCAGCTTCAAAATTTTATGAGGAAAGCAATTCAGCAGATGGAAAAAAGACAAATTTAATTCCAGAGGGGGAAAAGGGAGCCTTTCTGAGGAGAAGCTGAACCAAAAAATCCTGATTTAACAAGTGGTTGCAACAGGTGAGCATCTGTCCACAGAAGAATGAATTCTGATGAGAAATGTTCCCCTCCCCTCTTATTGGCCAAAGAAAGGTCTCCGTGACTCCAACAATACAAAAATAAATCAACAGATCACTTTTGCAGATGGGGGTGAAGGAGGATAGATGAATCTCTGTAAAATAGTTTCTCAGGCTAAACAGTCTTTTCTCTTGAAGAGCTTGAATGACTTGCTACATGCATGGGCTACCAGCCTACTCCTCATGTTGAGTGCTGTGTGAATGTTAGGAAGAAACTGAATAGTGGTGGTATGTAAGTCTCCTCTTTATATTCTTCTCCATTCATTACTCCCAACAGTAATGCTCAAGCAGCCCCTTCATTTTGCAACACTGACCTAGCAAAAAAGGAGCAGCACAAAGTAAGATCACAGCCCACCTCCCAAAGTTCAGTGAAAGACTGAATAAGTGCAGCAGAGATGTAGAAATTGCCTTCAAGAAGAAACAGCTTAGTGAAAGTTTTGACTGCTTTTCTCAAAAAGCAAGTTTTGGGTACTCTTTTGGCCAAAAATCACAGTCCTTCAAGTAAAAACTAGTAACACCCTTAACAGCAACAACAGCCACCTTCAAAGGAATGAATTGCCTAAAGTTAAGCTACAGCATCTTTCTCTAACAGAAAGAAGTACAGGCAGCAACAGAGGGACATGCTTAATTAAGAAGCTGCCAGGACAGAATAATTTTTGCATTTCAAGTAAATGCAAAGAATAATTCTTGCACAATATTCTTGCTATCTATGGCTTCAGAGCAGAAAGGCTACCCTGCAACTATACGCAGAATTTTGTACCAGCTACACAAGGGTAGGACTGCTCATAACTTTGAAAACAAAGCGCTTCACACAGCTGAAAATGCTTTCTGTGACTGCGATGCACTTCTGAGCTTAAATAAAAGCACTGCCATCATTGTGGAAAGCAAATGAAAGTCCTTCCCAACCCACAGAAATATCCACTCTTCTGTTTTCCCCTTATCTCTGCATACCGCCATCTCCACACTCCTTGCTGCCACAACATCTTTGGGTTTTGCATCTTTGGTTCCAATGTAGGAGCCGATGGTGTCACAGGACCACGGAGAGTACTGGCTGTAGTCATTTCCTTTGTATTTCCCAGCTACCTTCAGGTCTTCATCCAAGTACTGTACAAAAACAAAAATCTGGTTCTGTAAGTGAAGGGAAGAAGCAGTTTCACAGCCATCCCTGTGCACTTCAATAGTAGTGAACTTGAGAAACATGACCAGGATTATTTTTTATCAGAAACATCACCCTCTGGAACTGGGCCAGAGAACATATGAAGTGCATGAAATTCTGAGCCCCTGGCTACGCTCCCAGTGCTGACTGTTCACTTGGCCAGTTCGAAGGTGATATTTTGACACTGGTTAAAAAAACAAATCTCTATCAAGCTGTTACTTCATTCTAAGTATGTCAGGAGTAAAGTCTGGTAACTGTGAAGAGCGATTACTTCAATTAGTAATGGTTCTAAATTAATTTTCTTCGCTGCACCAAAAGCAGAGAGCTCAGACCAGTGGTAGATCAACAGCCAGCTGAAATACTGGAGACTGTATTACAAGGGTTTCCCAGCTAGGCACGAAATTTACTTTGCCCAACACTTGCCAGTGCTGTATTGTTCTGATTTTCTTGTTGTCTACACCTACCAGCACGTAAAGGCCCAAGTATTTTCTAAACATGCCAGTATCTCATGTTTTGTCAAAATATGCTTACCTCCTCTGAGTGAAAAGGATGAGGCAAGGTTGGTGATGGTGCAAAAGGAGGTGGAGATATCACCTTCCTCTCTTCCAGCTGGGCCATGATCTCTTTCCTTCGTCGGTGAAGTTCATCCAAGCTGGGATGAGGCTGAAATTAAGACAGAAAAATGTTTCAGAGCTCCTGAAGCATTAAAGTACAAAATGAATAATTTTCTAAGTGTTGTTTATCTGAACAAAATAAGGCAGCTATGTACTGCAAGGAGAGGGAAATAGAGAGGACAGACAGAATCATTAAAACAACAAATGATGATCACTTTGTTTAAGTCTACCTGTTAACTTTCATACATGACATACATTTTCCTACACTGGCCAGTGTTAGTTCAAGACACCCCACAAACAGGCAAGTGTTACAACTTGACAAAGTTCCCACTGGCACATGTTCAGCATGGCAAGTTCCATTACAGTCACGTAGGGTAACTAGATAGAACTCTATAGGTCACTAGTCACATTTATTATTCACTTTGCAACAGAATTAAACACAAACACCGCACACTCAAACTGATAAATCTGTAAATTATGTTAAAAACACTTCCTGTACCTGGCAATAGGATTCAGAACCTTTAATCTGAATGACTTAAGTCCAACTATTCTACAGAACTCAATTCCAGATGGTGAGTTACCAAAACCAATTTGTAAACTTACAACAGGAAGACCCTTCAGTTAGCAATGTAACTAGAAAAATTCAGAAGAGCAGAATTTTTAGTTCTTTCATCAAGGCAGGTTTGTTTAATGTTTATTACTGAGGTACAGAGTTGGTCAGTCACAGATGGGCAGTACAAGAATGCATGTGTGACCATTTCCACACTCTGTGTTTACTCTGCACTTGAGTTGCCCTCTCCAGCCTAATCTTTGCTGGAGAAGTTAGAAACGTATGAGATTTCCAATGCTTTTCTACTCAGAGCGCTAAAGCAGCCTACTTTTACGTATTAACATCATTTCAACTGGAGAGTTGACTGAGAGTTAAAGGTAATTTAGTTACCTTCCAGTTTTTGATCCGCTTCCTAAAGTTCAGACTTTCACAAAGGCCTTAGTACAAAACCGTTCAATTCCCCAAGCAGTTTACTCTTTCTCTCCCAAAACAAGCAGAAAACCACAGCGCAGAACCCATACCCTGTGGCAGGAAGGTCGGATCTGCCCGAGATGCGGAGCCACGGGGCAGTAGGGCTCCGTTTGCTGGTATCTGTCCCTGGCCTCGGGCACGTAGAGGGGCACGGCCGCCTGCGGGATGTCGATGGGCACGGGGCTGCCGCGCACCACGTCCTCGCGCTGGTAGGGCTGCACGGGCGGGTAGACGCGGCGGCCGTCGTAGTGCGGCGGGTACATGGGCTGCGCCAGCGCCGGGTAGCCCTGCGGCTGCGGGTACTGCGGGCTCACCACGCGCTCCGGCAGGTACGGCCCGTAGTGCTCCAGGTACGGAGCGCCCGCCTCGGCCGCTGACGGAGGGGGGCGCACGAAGCGAGACACGGACTGAGTGGGATAGTACACTCCTGAGGCGAGGCAAGGGGGCAAACACAAGATACAGAAAGTCATTAGTGCAATTGCTCACAAAAATGGACAGTAGAAAACCCTTAGGAAGTAAAAGTTGATCCAAAGCTCGAGTGACAATGTGCAATTACCTAAGATACCAGCATGTTACAGTAGCTGATGAAGAGCTGGTGAGACTGACCCCACCACAGTGAATAGAATTACATCACCAGAATGTCTCTGCAGATTGCTACAAATGCTTTCAGCTAGGTAAGAATTAAAAATTAAACTGAAGATTGGTCTGTACATCTTCATTCATGCAACTAAATTCAATTTATCTCATGGAATCACAGAATGACTGGATTGGAAGAGACCTTCAAGATCATCAAGTCCAACCCATGCCCTAAACACCTTAAGTAAACCATGGCACCAAGTGCCATATCCAGTCTTTTTTTGAACACATCTAGGGACTGTGACTCCACCACCTCCCCAGGCAGGCCATTCCAATATTTTTATCACTCTTTCTGTGAAAAACTTCTTCCTAATATCCAGCCTATATTTCCCTTGATGCAGCTTGAGACTGTGTCCTCTGGTTCTGTCAGTGCTGTCTGGAGAAAGAGACCAACTCCCACCTGACTGCAGGCACCTTTCATGGAGCTGCAGAGAGTGATAAGGTCACCCCTGAGCCTCCTTTTCTCCAGGCTGAACACCCCCAGCTCCCTCAGTTGCTCCTCACAGGGCTTGTGTTCCCAGCCCCTCACCAGCCTTGTCGCTCTTCTCTGGACACACTCAAGTGTATCAGAGCCAGTGGCTGGGTAAAGGAACTTGGATTAGTAGGATTTAGTCATCTAGAGATTTGTTTAATGTCTTGATCAGGAGAAAGACATTTCAGAACTGTAAATCATGAAAGACTTGTGATATCACAATACCTGGTTACCTGAAGATTTTATTACTCAATCTGGGATCTCTCGATAATTTTAAAATAAGCATGAATATGTGCATGACATCAAATTTTGTGGACAACTCAGATGTTCACTGGCACATAACGAACAAATGTAAGTAGTTTGTTTTTCTTCAAAATGCTCTGCAACTTTGTCACAAATGGCTTTCCCCATTTCACCTTTCCTTTCCAGAGCTTTTTCTGCTTTTAACTTCCTTTGGTCTTTCATTGCTTATTTTTCTTTCACATTAACTTTACTTTATCTCAGTTCTCTCTGCATCCTCAGACTGCCTAAGACTCATTCCCTGTTTTCATATAGATAGCCATATCTTCTCCTTTTAATCCCCTTCAATATTATCTTTCTCCACATGCTGTCTTTATAGTTAAGTTTTTCCTCTTCGTTCCTTTTTTATGACATTTTCTTTTTTTGTGAACACCCTTCTCTAATTTCATTTATCTCTAGTCATCACATGCACTTTATTTCCATTTTCCCTGAGTCAAACTGAATTAAGGTTTACCACACTGGATCCCTCATCCAGCCCAGTTAGGAACAACTCAAGACAGAAGGACTTGCAACACCTGGACTGATACAGGTATTGTTTTCACTTGCATTGAAATCCTCAGTCAAGGCATAAAATCCTGCCAATTTCCATTTTATTATGACATGACCATATTAGTGTCTTTCATCCATGTCATTTGTAAGAAAACATCAATTAAAGGGCTCAAAAACCAGAGTGGGAAGAAAGACTAAAATCAGCACAAGGATGAAAGAGCTTGGTGTCAATCTTACCTTGTTGGTAGGGCGCTGGCTCAAACGATGGGGCAGCCCCTCTGGGGTCCTGATAAAACATATCTGCTTGTTGTGCACTGTACAACTGAGACCCTCGTGGTACCATCTGCAACTGCTTGGTGACAGACACTGAGGGCAGATCTGCTGGCACCCGAGCAGGCACAGGATGAGGGTTCACTGGCAAGGCAGAAATAGAGCTCTTGGGAACAGATTCCAGCCTAAAGAAGTGGAAAGATGGCACTGCTCATTAAGGCCTGGTATAGTACTCCACAATGTACTTTAACACACTGTTATTTGTCTACACTCCACCTTCTGAAGGCTTCTGTCACCTTCTCTAATTAAAATATAAGCAAACAGGGAATTAACACAGTTTAGAGTTTAAGCTTTAGCTTTCTACTCTACTATATAATCATTAAAAAACCCCCCAACCAAACACAAGAACAACCACAACCCCAGTTCTGTTTCTTTTTTAAAGAACTGGTTTCCTTTGTTTCTACTCCCCATTTACACCCATAACAACGTGAAGAACAGGTAGGAAGAGCCGTACAAGTCAGGAGGGGATCCAGGGGCACTGCTGCTCAGATGGTCCATCTTCCCCGGCTTCAGGGCACTTTCATAACCAGAGTCAGTCCCTCGAGAAATCAGTTGTGTCACTGTGCTGCCTGTTGACACAATTCCATTTGGCAGAGCAGAAGTTTTCCTATTGGGCAAGTCCACTCCCCCTTCCTCTGAGAGGATAGCTCCTGAAGGCAGGCCCACCTCATTCAGCTGGCCCAGGGAGGCACTAAGGGGTCTTCGGGGAACGAGACGCTTATTCATTTTACGGAATCTTCAGAAAAAGAAACCACATATCAAAAATTGAAACTAAAAAAAAATTAAAAGGACTCATACTTTCAAGATTTTTCAAACATGGATTCTACTGAAAGCTTCCTTTTATTCAAATTCTTCAAGGAGCTTATGAAAACACCTCTTAGAATACAACTTCCCTGACAGTTGATCTATTAATAGGAGTTTCAATCAGAACAAGAATGAACTTTTAATGACAAGTACATCAAGAATTCACAGGTAAACTTCACACAGCAAACTTACAAATCCTACTTTCTTTACACATATGCATCTCAAGAGAAGAAAACCAAGCATCACATAAAGTACTACTATCATATAAAATATAGTAATACAAGCTTCAGAATAAGAATCACAGACTGTTCAAGCCTGTTTTATTCAGAGAAGAAACTCATAGCAAAAATTTAAGTGAAAAAATATGAAGTTATACCCTTTTGCTCTGTTTGTCCAATAATAAGCCAAGTGTTTACTGCCACATGATATATTTTAAAGTATATCTTAAGATAATTGTTACTATATCAATACACAGCTTACACCATTTCTGCTGTTTGATAAAGTGATTGCAGATATAACAACTCTATGAACATGCAGCAATCCCAAAAATCTAACTGCTTCTGACTAAAGCTTGAACAAATACAGGCATTTTAACCAAAGCTCCACAGAAACCAGTAGGCCAACAGTACTGGAGAACAAATTCCAGAGTTGAAGGTGCTCCTCTAAATACCCTGCCATTAGTTCAAGTCCCAGAATGCAAGTATGAGAGCACACTGGCAGACCTGAGTGTTCTCACTGAACAAGAAGCAAACAGTATTTCTTCAGCAGGGCTGAAGCCAACACTTTGATATCATAAATAACAGTCAGAGTGAGATGGAAACCCAGACTAGGAAGGTATACAAATTACTGCAGAAAAAGGTGGCAACTGATTGATTACTCAATCCTTAGATAATCTCTGTAGTTGCCCACGTGCATTAACAGCAACACAAGAGAGACAAAAAGGGGTTTTATTTTGGGGCTGTTTTGCTTTTTAGATGTTGTTGCAGTCTCCACACGTGCAGGACACAAATGAATTTTTAAAAAGTTCAGTTCTTGCCTATGGACACTGGGTGTTTGTCCCTTGTCAAGAGGGAATGAGCTGCTGTTTAAGCAAGTTTAGATGATAATATGCTATCTAAACATTACCACACATTTCCCCATAACCTTCCTCCCAAGTTAAAGCTATATATAGAGAGAGAGGAGTCACACAGCAACAGCAATGAATATTAGTCACACAAAGAATTTTTAAAAGGAGGAGTGCTAACACAACAGCTACTTAAAGGAATTAAGCAAAGATAAAAGGTATAAGGAACAATCAGAACTCCCAAGTTCCCCACCCACCCACAGAACCTGAACAAACATTCCCTACAGCCCAGGACAACATTAATACCAAGGCAAGCAAGTCAGTCTGGCTACACCAGGCCTCTCCCCCCTGCAAAGCTGACAAACAGTCCTTGATACATAGAGCTGGCTCAGAGCTGTAACACTGACCCACCACCCAACACAGGTCAACAAAATCATCTCAAAGCTGCACTGCCAATCTCCATTTCATTAGCATGATGACAGAAGGCAAAAAACTCTTCAACTGATTCTGCAGCACACAAGTACTAGAGTCCTATTCCTTGTTCATATGAATAACTGTCTTTGTCATTCTAACACCACATGCCCTGCTCTTCTTTCTCTGTGTTTTGTCTATGCACTGCATGCTGGCTATAGAGGCCATGAACTGACATTAATGCTTTGAGCTTCAGATTAAGAAATGAAAAAGAAACACTGCATGCCAGTCCTGAGCCTTTGCAGTATTCTCATTAAAAAGGACCTTTTCTTTGAATTATTGTAGCCCAAAAAGCAAGTAACAAGCTAATATACTAAATAAAATGCACTGTATTTATTTATTTTAGCTCCTAAATAATCCATTTTACTTAAAAGAAATTAAAACAACCTACAGAACAACAGCTTCTTGCTCTTGCATAACTGGCAGCCCTCCTAAATCTGTAGTGGATCTAGACCCCAGATTTGATATGAGCATCACCTTTTAACTCTACAACAACAGATGCAACCAATTGAAGATACCTGCAAGAAACTTTTTGCCAGATTGCACAAAGAATTGTTGCAGGAAAAAATCCTGAATTGTTTGTTTTTAGCTCTTTGGAGAGCTAGCAACACATTCCTTACATTTGGAAAACTGCTAGCAACCTACCTGAATGAAAAGGGAAGAGGAGAAGTACCCACAAACAAAAGCCACTGTGAATGCCATCACACACTTAAGTAGTAGGGAAAACAGCCCACCTCCAAAAACTTTTGATAACACTTGTGTAACATCAAACTTCCAGAGCTGCATTGCTGATGAACAAAGCAAATATCCTGCTGTATGGAAGAACAAGTAGCTCCAAAACCTAAGAAATGACTGTTACAAGTTTATCACATTACTTCTTACTAGTTTAACAGCCAGGTTATACCTCCTTTCCCCCTCATTCCTAAATATGAGAAATAACTCTTAAAGACAAGATGAAACAAAGACTGGACTGCTTTCTACTAGCAGAACACTTACTTTTCCAGCTCCTCCTGTGAGTGTGCAAAGGTGCAGCTGGCTCCCCGGGGACATCCTCCTCTCTGCTTCATGTCCCGGCACATGTATGTCTTGTACTTGCTGTGCTGAGGGGGCTGACAAGGGTAAAGAGACCAGGTGAGATACCTGAACATGAAAAGCACTAAGCCAAGCTGAATGTATCATCTTATCAAAGGCCTGGGGTTTCACTGTTGATAATTCCTCTAATTCAAGTGTTTCTGGAATACCTGACATGAAATAAATGACTGAAGTACTTGTGTTTGGTTCTTCAACAGAACCAACAGATTCAAGAGTACATGTTTTGACAACTAAGTCACTCTCAGTTTTCTACAGCATTTTTAGTCAAACTCCTTACTGGAGAGCTTAACTGGAACACAGCTGTACATTTTAAGACACAGTTAAGCGGACACAACTGACACAGGATGAAAAAATTACCAGTAATCAGATATAGCCTTTCGATAGTCCACCAAGGGAAACATCTGTAAAAGTCAACACGCTTTCTGGGAAGCCAAAAGGTGAATATCTATCAGAAGCCACCTGCAAACTGTTGGGGTTTTTGTTTGTTTGTTGTTGGTTTGGTTTCGGTTTTAGTTTGGTTTGTTTTGGGGTTTTTTTGCCTTTTACTGCAGTGGGAAGATCCAGGCAGAGTGAACATAAGCCACACAGCCTTTCCCTGGCCACTGTTGCCAGGCAGTGCAACTTTACCCAGACCCAGCAGACATCTCTTTCCTACTCACAGGCTCCAGGCTCCCTTCCAAGCAGCACAGCATGTACCACAGGCTCTCCACAACAAAAACTCTTGACGTTTTCCCCTCCCAGATTCCCACTTATGCATTTCTACTGTTTTGCCTTTTGCTGGTGACAGTGCTCATTATCCATCCCAAGTAATGCAAAAAGATGAAACAGCAGAAATAGTTCACTTTAATTTTTTTTTTGGCAGAGATAATCTTTTTACTAGTTGAGCTCCCCAAACCAGGTCTCCAAGAGGATGAATGCCAAAGAGACAGAGGAGTAGGACTGGGACAGGCAGCTCTGTACTTCAGCAGCATTTATATCAATTGAGCTACACAATAAAATGACATCAAAGGAATGTGTGATAAGGTAACTATGAAAGAAGTTAATATACAATTATATTGTCATTGCTGAAACAAAAAAATTTGTTTCAGGAACTTGGATTGCACCTTCATATAAACTGTTTTTAAATCTTCAAGCTTGACAGACCACTCAGCACAGGTATAAAGATGATTTCATTAACAGAGAGCCAGCTGGCTAAAATATGTCACATTAAAACAAAACCAAGAAAATCCCCATAAATGACAGCAGCACCCAGTGTCCCTTCCCCACCCTCTACTCAGGAAGCTTGTTATTCATTTCCCTAAGCCTGCAGCTGGATCAGACTGTTCTCCTTCCATCCTAGCGAGCTCTGAAAATCACTTCAACAGGTTTTGGAGGTAAATATGTGTTGTTTCATGTTTTTTCCTTTCTTGTTTCTTTTTTGATAAATATAAATTGCAGTGATGTTTTCAATTAGCTTCCTGTCAAACTAAATCTTTCCAGATGACATTAGTAAACCTCTACTATAAGATACAGCCAATAAAACTTAGGGCTACATATTTCCCAAATGATTTAGGTTTTACCTGTTGTTGATCTGTTCCTTTTTTGCTGTGATTTTGGATATAATCAACTAAGCCATGAACCACAGTCCTCACAGCAACTAATCCATTTTCCAGTTGTTCCCACGTTGGAGGTGGAGCATCTGTTGCATGAAGAGCAAACATCAAACAAAGGGAAAAATCAGAAAGATTTTCCAAAACCAGGTACAAAACCCCACAATAGTATCACAAAACTTGACTAGCCAAGTTTATAAAAAACATTCCATCAGTAGATAAAAAGCTTTCAGCACCTCAATTCTGGGACACTTAGCTCTTACAGAATAGAGCTATCTATCAACTCAAGACGGAACTGCACAAAATACCGAATGAGCCAGTAAGGCCATTATTAAAATGTAAAATTATTTCCTTTTACAAGAACTTTCTCATCTCACAAGAACTCCAGAGTTAAGGCACTGTACAAACTCTTCTCACCTAGAAAAACATCAGGTTCAAAATCCCTCTTTGCATTCAAACTCCTGGAGGTAAAATTATTCCATACAATACAGTCATCCTGGCCTGATTACCCAGGCACAGATGTAGAACAGCAACAGAAATGAATGCCTCTCATGTGGAAAAAACATCACAAGGCAAATCTATGAATCAGACCACCATCTAAAGCACTGTGAATAAATTGTACAGTCTCAATTCTATAGAAGCACTTTTTCTTTTTAGCCAATTTATTTTGCTAAGTTTTTGAATCTGTTCCAGCAGCTGACACTCCCACTGCGTGCCTGCACACTCTGCTGCAAAGGACAGTACCTCAAAGAGCCTTTCAAGATCTTTAGCACAATTAATGACATTATATTCCACTCACAGGGACTAAATTCTTCTACAAATACTTCAACATGCTTCCCTGCTGTTCTTTAGGCAGCTCAACAGAACAGAAAAAACCACAAAGACCAGACTTGGCTACTGAAATCAAGGGAGGCTATTAGTGATGCCACCTTCCAGATCAGTTTTTTGCAAACAAATTTGCAGTGCACAGCTTTGTCCCCAGCTTGTTTCAGTATGTAAGACTTGGGAAGAAAGCACTGCATCTCCTTTAGCTATGAAGTACAACTGGTCCTCATTGGAAAGGAAGTTTAACTTCTGTTTGTTTAAACAAATATGAAGTACAATTTTTCATCTCCTGAAGCTGTAGTTTATATCTTTTTACTATTTTGATATATAATATTGATTTTACAAATTTTAGCAGGTATAAAATAGTACTTCAGCCACAGGACTTTGTTCTGTCCCTTCCCATCTCCCTCAGATAGTCCTTACAGCACCGCTGACTTTTTCAACAATTTCTATCTTTCTCTCCTCTGTCAACAGCTTCATTTCTATTTCCCAGTTAAATTCTTCCCAACTATCTTCTACTTGCCAGACTCTTTCCTAGTTTTGCAGAATTACCTATGAACAAGAAAAACACTGAATTCTGTAGGGTAACAAACCATTCTTGTCTAGACTGACTTTTGCCTAGCTTCTCTCTATTCAATCTATCAAATTTCTACTTTGGAATCCAAAACTCTTTAGTTGATGAGTAAGGAGGACGTTTCCTTACACTTCATGATCAGCTTTCAATCCTTGAACAGTGTTAAGCTCATTTTGCTAAACTTAAAGGTTTCTATGAAAACACCCAGATTTACCTGGACTGGGATCAATATTTGCTAGGAGCTCTAGGTGAGGTCTGAGACGATTCAAGTTAGCTGGATCTCCAGTCCTCTGAAGAGCAATAGTTAATTCCTGAACACTCTGTGCAAACGAGGCTGGGGTCTGCAACTTAAAAAAATGACCATAATTAACTTTCCACAGGCATAGCAATCCTCATGGTTTCTGAAGGCTGCTCCACAGACAAGGACTGTCTCTCAAAACTAGAGATAAAGATCTTTCACAGAAGCCCATTCCAGTGAACCCTATCTATTAAGAATGCACAGTTCTTTGACATTGCATTAAATTACACTTTGAAATACACAAAATAAAGGTTGGTGTTATTTCTAGCAATAAAACCCATTTCTTTTGTGTTGTGCTGCTACCCAAGGAAAAAAAATGGGCCATATTGGAAACCATTTAATTTAGATTTCTGGAGAGTCTCATATCTCCAATCCCCAAACCAAAAAGTTTGCACCCTGCTTTAAATTGAGTACAGCAAGCAGAAAATAAAGAACAAGATGGCTGAAGGAAAAGATAGCTAGCAACACTCCATTTCCTAACATCACTGAATTCCAGTTTTAAAACTGTTTATTCTAACTAGATCTTTCAAGAGATGTTTGACAGGACACTTCAAAAGGTGGGCAAAGGCATAAATACACAGCAGAAGCTATCTTGAAGCTAATCCCCTTGCACAGCAGCCAAAGCAGTTGCTTCACAGCTTTCATAACCATTCAACAAGGTTCAGTTCTTCCCACCTGATTTAGGCATTTACAAAAGCATCCCCTAATCTAAAAGTCCATTTATCCTATGTTGCTTCTGAACACAGAGAGATCTGGGCATTTCCAGAGTTTAAGTATTTTATTTACAAAGTGTGTTTCCACCTCTCTGTCTTCAGACACAGACACGTGGACTCATTTTTTTTCCAACTTATGCACTAACGTCAGGCCCAGAAACATGGACCATTAGCCTCTGTCACTACACTGGCACTTATCAGCTGTTCATTAAGGTCACCCTTCAATTATTTAGCTAAACTTTGTGGGTTTCCATCTGCAGAAAGAAGTAAAGTAGCAAAAATGTCCAGATGGCAGAGGAAGCAAGATTCATTAGATTACAAATATATATTCCAATTATTTAGGATGTAACGGGTTTTGAAATAACAGGACAAGAAGATGGACTGGGCTGGTTCTGGGTGGCTTTACCTTGTCAATGATACTCTGCATGTGGGATTTGTGAGACTGGTCTCCGTAGAGGAGCGAGGACCACTGGTCTGGCGCGATGCGCAAACCCGCCTCCATGGCGATCTGAACGATCTGCGAGTCGTGCTCCCTTCTCAGAGCCTCGTACGTCCGAAACTCCTCCTTCAGCTGCATCAGGGAGGAGTCCTCGTCTCGCTTGGTCACCTAGAGAGGGGAAATGAGCCAAATGCAATTAAGCAGGATAAGCCCAAGATTAGTGAAGTCGAGATAAGTGACGTCTTTGGTCACATCTAAGTCCTTCTCCCAAACTAAAACCAACTATAACACCACCCAGCGAACACCAGTTCCTACCAAAGTAATGCACACTTTACAGAGTGGAACCACTATAAAATGGACACAAAACACTGCTAACTTGGACTCTGGCCCACATACCAGTCAAAGTGTCACACTTCCTAAATGACTTTACAGCATCCACACCTTCAATCAAGATATTCTGTTTGCACTGCAGAATTTTATTTGAGGGTACAATTAGCAAAACCAAAGTGTTTTTCTATTCATTTAGCAAAAGACATTTAAGCTGAGCATCTAGTAATGGATATTAAATACCGAGAAGTACATGAAGCAGTTTTTTTTCATACAGCTGACACCCAAAAGGCTTTTTCTTTGATTCTAACCACAACACAACTGAATTAACAGAATTGGTGATTTTTCTGGCTTTAAGCCACTTTTAAGAAGGTAAATATGCTACTTTACATGCAGGTTTTGTAACAGTACCTCCATGAAACCAGGCAAAGGCAAAACCTAGCTTTACAGCTTCAAGTTGCTATTTGAGCCTACACTGCCAACACAGCTGAATGACAAAGAACTCTAAATTCATGTGGGACTTAATGAGCAATACTTCCTCTAACTACATATATTTTTAGGCACATTAAATGTTACAGGACATGAAAACAAAGTGAAAACCAATGGTTTTCATAGCATTACAAAACCTCCAGGCAGAATCTTCTTCCTACCTTGAAGCAGGAGGCTCTGTAAAGGAGCTGGACAACGTGCCCAATGCTAGTCTTGGAAGCCTGAGGGAATCGTGGCTCCAGTCTCTGCACCACAAAGAGAACCAAGACCTTCCGTGACAGAGCAGATCCATCTTCCAAAGCCAGCAGAACCAGCTTTAGAGCCTCCTCTTGCATTGCTGGGAGTCAGGAGAAATGCAAAAAGAGACAAAAGATGAGAGAAGGCCAAGTAAAATTTTTGCAGTTTCTTGTTCAGCTACAATTGGGATAACAGCTAAAAACTCCCACCAACAGAACCACAAAGTCACAGAGAAAAAAAGGAATTGGGCAAGAAGGGAGGGCAAGGAGAGAAGGAACCCCTTCAGACTCCCAGACTGTGACTTGGGAAAACAGGACGTTTTACCTTTAGTATTATTTTGATTACTATGATTTACTGTTATATATTATATTAATATTATTACTGCTACCACTACAACATCATCTATTTTGGGCATCATCTGATAAGAAGGTTCCTGTCTGTACATCTCTGGATCACTAACACGAATTTTCAAAGTGTATTGCCTACATCCCACACTTATCCCAGAAGAAAAATCTGACAGGCTAAGGAAGAGCAAGGTTCATTTCCATAAAAAAAGTGTGTCCACACCAATCAACCAGGCTGCAGCACTGCTATTTTGCTACATAACCAACCTCTCTCTTCCCTGAACCGGTATGAAAGTTAGTATCTCAAAATCAGTCTTCATCTGTTTCAGTCAGGAAAAGCTTCACTATTTTTTCATTAAGAAAATAGCTTCATATTTCAAGACTCAACAAGTGAAGTCCATATTTTCAATAACGAGACTTCATTTTTTTTAAGCATCATTGATTTCTTTCTAGTATTTTAAGCAAAACAATTTAATTTATAAATGCACAACTTCTTAAAAGTGTGTACACGTAACTGAAACAAATCTATCCCTACAACTGTTTTGCATGTTTATTACCCTAAGTAGGAAAAAAAGCCATGTCGGTCACTTCCAGTAACCTTATTTTTTCTAGAAAGATCTTCAAGGAATAGACGAGAACAGAAGGACACCTATTCTGAATTTTACAGAACACTTGAACAAGCATTAAGCATACAAGAAAACCCAACAGAAAAATAATTAATTCTGAAGATTACTATTAAGAAATTAGGCTGTTGCTTAATAAAATCCCTTGGGCAACTGGACAGCCATTTGTCAATGGCTCAATTCTAAAGTGCTTCTAGCACAGCAGTGATAGTGTGATGTCACCTACCTGGCCCAAGGAACTGGCAGCCTCTGGCTCTCACTGCAGCCCAGAGGTTGGAGGAGAGCTGCTGAGGGTTCTGATGCTGGAGGATGAGCTCTGTGACTGTTCTTTCACCCAGCGACCGCGCTGCCCGCATGGCTCTGATGCGCCCTTCCTCCTCCACCAGCTGGCAATGCACCAATGTCACCAGCTTCCTCTGCATGGGCCGACTCAGCACGCTCTGAGTCGTGCTGTTAAGACCCACACCTTCAAAGCAAAATGAAACAGAATAATAACTATCTCATACTCCTCTTCTTGTGCCAGTCTGCAGTGACTGTGCTGGACAAGTGCAAACCTAGCTCTCCTGGTGTCCACTTTGTCAAAGGGAATACTAGTCAAGGCATATCATAAGTTCATTTTACTTGTTTCACGTGGCAATAAAAGCAGTTTTCTGGTAGTCAGCAGCCCCACAGGCTTCATCTTGTGATTGACTGATCTGGCTTTTTAAGAAGATGGAACCTCTAACGAATCCTTTTCCCATGTTGGTAAGTTTGTGTCCAACACCCTCCCATACAGATTCCCAGTTCATCCCTTATTCATGGACTTCAGGGATCACTTGGACATTTGTTTGTTTTCAGAACACATTTACTTTCTTGCCTACATGTAGTACCTTCACTGTTTGGGTTTAGAACTTACATGAGTCCTGAGCTGCTTGGGTGATGTTTAATTTTGTGCCAAAACTCTGAATCACAAACACGCTGAGAGCCACCTAATTCAGGTTAAAGGAAGAGGTGACTCACTAGACAAACAGCTGCCATGCTGAGTTTGCTCCACAGCCAGAGCTTGTTCACTGGGCCACCAATTCCCAGAGTGATTCTGCTGTCACACTGCACTGGTCACAAAAGACTCAGACAGCTTCTCAAAAAAAAAATTTTTTATAACCTCATGCCCATGGTGCTCAACTTCACTACTTGGGCTGACAGACTGCCCAAATCCAGCACTTGTAATATATATAAAATCCATACTCTTCAACACAGTGCATATTTTCTAACAGAATTATCCAGATTGACCCAGCTCTTGTATGTGACCTTGTATAAACCAAGTATTACTTATAATTTTCATTATCTATCTTATATGTAGTAACTTTCTCTTATGAGTTCATTCATCCTCTACAGAACAGCTGCATCATTACAATTATCACAAAGCAGAACTGAAAAAAAGGGTAAAATTACCTATTTTTACTTATTCTGCAAAGATCAAATCAAAGATGGTCTCAACTCACTATAGCATGGTCAAAAACCTCAGCCTTTTCTCTGAATTGTTTTTGACACCTTTCAATTCTATATTCACCTCCCCTCCATGAAAACATAATATTAATGTTCAAGAAATCTGTTTCAATTTGTTTCTAAACTGGATTTATATCCATTTTCCAAATATACTAACGAATAATTTGGATAGCTTGTTTTGCATCTTATTTGGTTTTTTGTTTCATTTTCCAAGGAAGCAATGCAGGAAGTACCTCTTGCACTGCTGAGTGGTTTGAGGTACAATGCCAATTCTTCCACACATTTCTTGCCCTCCTCATAATGCTTGGTATCTTCAGCTCCACTGCATAAAGTAATTGGCTGCTGCTCAGGAACCTGAGGAGAGATGACATGTACATCTACTATGAATATGCATAAATAAGTGGCAACCATGCTTACAAACATTTATTACTACACCACATTTCCTGTTTTGTTCTCTTTTTGTGATTTTGCTGTATTACTTAGCATTTTTTCAGCTTATTTAGTGAACAAATAGTGTAAGAAACCCCAGTGAGAATGAAAACAAAAATACAGGATTTATGTTTAAGAGACTTATTTAGTGGCTGAAAGGAACTAGAAGCAGAAGGCTTAACAAGGCACTTCCTAAAACTATAAAACTTTGGCTAAAATAGAACACATTGAAACATCCCCAAAGCTGACTGGCCAAAAATCTCAGGGGGAAGAAAAAAAATGAAGAGAACCCTGGTCTGCTGCTAAGTACAAATTTGTATCTACGGGCTCACAGCTTAAAACCATCCAGGGATAAGAGACTACAGCTACTTAAGATTAGTGGCAGAAAGACTTAGCAGCAAATACAATAAGACACCCCTGGAACATATTCTGAGTAGACACAGTTACAAAGCATGACCAAGTTATCCTCTGTGGTGCATATGAACACACCCTGTGAGTATTTATCTGATGATAGAAGCCAACTACATCCTTGGGCTTTTGTCAGGTGACATTTGTTTTTTCTTCCAGACATTGACCAGAAATCAGGACTTTTTAAGGGGATTTGCACCACACCCCTCCAAGTTACAATTTTGGTTCTACTTTCCTCTTGGAAAACTGTTAAAGCTTTCATCAAATTTGAGGGTGCAATATAGCACTGTACTAACACTTCTCAACACCACTGTTCAACAGTCAACCCAATATGATAGTACAGAGAACTGGAATTCCTCAGAAGACTAAACACAAGCACTTTTTCTTTTTGCTATCAAAGTGCAAATATATCTCAGACTTCTATTTCCAAGTCAATCCCCATCCCAGTGGCAATAACAGCATGCTAATCCCACATAGCTGCTTATAGGGACCAACCCAGGCCTTCAATCTAAAAGCAAAGCCTTTAATGCTTCAGTTAAATACAGAGACAAACCTTCTTACCTTCATGTGCAATGCAGCCATGGCAAGAGCAGCATTGTGATGGTAGCACCACATAAAAGCAGCAAATATATATAAAAAATATATATACACATCACCATTGGTTTTTCATGGTTTACACATCACTGGTTGCCATCATCAGTGTGAACAGCTTTTATATAAATTTTAATAAAAACCAATGCTTCAATCATATGATCACACTTCTCCTTAGTCATCTGCGTCACCGTGCTAAGTTTCTCATTTGACACATAGAGCAAAATAAAAAGTTACTATCTTGCTTTTGCAGCAAGCAGGTAACAAAGAAAAGTCTCAAAATGCAACATGTCAGCTGGAATTAACATAGTATCATCTCAAACTAACATAAACAAGATAGAGGCTGTGTCTAGGCTTCTTCCATTCTTACTAAAGAGAAAACTCCAGTTCAATCACACCAATACAACAAGGTTAGCCTTGATGTTTATCACTAATGGAAGTTAACTTGTAATGTTCTGTGGGGTTTTGGTTTTAATTTTGGGCCAGCATTTGTTTGGGGTATTTTGGTTTTTGGGTTTGAGGAGTTTTTTTGTCTGTAAGCAAGAATATTGTCAGCAAAAGGAGATTCTGCAACTCGGTATGTTAGAGTGGTCAGCTGTAAATAGTCTCAACAACCTTATCTTGAGTGTTTTTTTGGGATTTGGGAAACTATTATTAACTATTATTAACTATTATAAACGGCAATATTTGCAACTTAACAGCATATTCCACAGCTCCTTTTCCCAGGCACTGCCATTTTAGCAGTCTGCTTCTGCCAGGGCAGTTACGTGGCAGAACTGGCTGACTGAGCAAATGACACATCTCAAGTGCATCCAGACCCTGCCCCATCTCTGCGCTGTTTCCTGCAGTCCCACGCTCTGTACAAACTCCAATTCTCCTGCAAGCATTCCCTGTGGCACCACTGCCAGCCCAAACAGTGCCAGTGTCCCAGCCCCAGCAGACAGACAGACAGACAGACAAAGGGGCTGGGAACAGACGTGGCACAGGAAGCCACGCTCAGCCCTGGATTTCAACCCTGAATTGGAGTGGGTTTAGCACACATTCAAAGCACTGGTTTGGAATGCCAGACACAGCACAACTCCACCAGTGAGACACAAGGACTGTCTAGCAACTAACAGAAAGCTTCCCCTTCCCCCACGGAAAGGCTGGCAGAGGAAAACTTCCAAGAGCTAATCAAGCTATTCAAACACTATCTGCATATTGTTCCCATTCCTTCTCTTTTGAAGGGAAGCTTCAATGTAAAAATCTAAATGCTTTGTACAACCGTACTGTTTGCAAAATGAGCTCCAAAGAGATTCAACTTTTATCTGAAGCTGGAGTAAGTGTGGTACTGAAGAGTAAAACATGCTTTTTCTGTGGTTCTCAGGAGTGCTCAGGAGAAGAGAATTTAGTTCTCATGCACACATACTTCATGCATGCAGTGCACTTCACAATAAAATTTACAAGTAATTTTCCTTTTGCTGGTTGTATTACATGCACTTCCAAGAGTTATTTTAATATTTTAGGATTAGAATAATTGTAAGAATAGCATCTACCAAAGGAAAAATCATGAAGACATAATTCATATAAGTGACAGGAAATGTGAATTTTTGACTTTGGCTCCATCATGGAACTGCTGAGGGACAAGTGAGAAATAACTCAACTCAAAAGCATTTTCACTTCCCCTTCCCAAAATAGCCTTTTAATAGCATGCGTGACCCTATGGTTCCTGCTGTTTACAATGCCTCTGAGGAGCCCCAGAATAGATGCCCCACAGAGTGAGTTCATTATTTTCACACTCAGTCCATATTCCGTTCTCTCAGACATCACACCCTTGTGACAGCTTCCCCTGCAAATATATTCACATCATGTAATCAACACCTCCCAAAGGGGACGAGAGCAACACAGGAAAAATGATCTCAGCTTTTAATTGCTTTCAATCTGTGATGGTTTTGCCATGTATCTGCTTTGGCAATGACTGCAAGTATCCTGACAGTGGAATGTTACCCATCAGCATGGCTTGTGGCTGTGGGAAGAGACAGGTTATGACAGCATAAGGAAGGGGACTGGAAAAGAATGCTAAAGCATCATCTCATACCAGGCAGTGATTCTGAATTGGTGATTTAAGTGTAATTTGATGAAGAAAGCCAGCTTGAGTTGTCAGTAATTACCATTAGACATCTAATTGCACAGAATGAGAACATGTTAAACAGACCAAACCCCTTTTTGTATGGTTTGAAAACTGTTTCTAGCAATATTTCCCTCCTCCTCCCTGCAAATGAATGATTTGCTTCCTGCCAAGAGAAACCAAACAAAACCCAAAGCCTATGTCTTTAGTTCCTCAAAAGTTTACATTAGACAACTTTTTCCACAGATAATTCCTCTTTTGTGGCACTTTATTTCATCAGAAGTTAAAATAAAAAATTATCACATGTGCCTCTAAGAGCTCTGCACTTTCAACCTTCCCCTTTTGAAAGGGCTGTAAATTAAGATCACCCAGTCTCTCATCATGTACAATTCCAGTGTCTAGAATTGTGTTTATCATGTCCAGCAGAGTATTCCAAAATCAAAGCACCACAGGCATTTCTGCCACTCTACATCACCTGTTTGGAATGTGCCTGCTGCTGTTGCATGGTTAAAAAAACAGGAGGGAAGAGCTTAGATGACAGATTCATGATTGGATACTTTCAAAACACTAGCCAGGTGAATGCTTAAAATAGTTGCATATAGTGAGTAATATGGGCATGCTTGAATAGCTAAAATGCAAAACCTTATTCTCACAGAAACAAAATTAAGTGATTCCTTTACCCAGGAAGTCTAAGAAGCAAGGTATGCTATGAATGCCTTGCTGATTTGTGTCCAAGGCCATTGTGTGTCTCCCTTCCCTCATGGCTCCTGCTTAGGTACTCAGCTATGTCCAGCTTTCACAGGAATAATAATTCTCATCTTGCCTTTCTGATCCCTCTGCTCCCCTCATTTTATGTAACAAAACTTATCTAGACAGGGTCTGAACTACCTAACCAGAGGCAGTGGATATCCCATCCCTGCAAGTGTCCAAGGCCAGGCTGGATTAGAGCAAGCTGGGATAGCGGAAGGTGTCCCTGCCCACAGCACAGGGCTGCAATGAGATGGCTCTAAAGGTTCCCCCAGCCCAAGCCATCCTGGGATTCTATCCTATTCTGAGCCCACTGCCTTCCAGAACATCCCCTGTAACCAGTGCTGATGTGAGCCATGCTACAGGGGAGCAGGCAGAAAATCTCAATCTGCAACAGCTAATTTCACACAAAGGGTGGCTATAACCTGGGCCATGGGTTTCATTTCAGGAAGGGGTGAGGAGAGAGAAAACTGAGAAAGAATCTAATTCAAATAAGAAACCAACTCTTTTCACTGTTAGAGTGACAAATTCTATCCAGAGAGAGAAAGCTACCATCAGAGAATGCTTTCCTGGTGACCTGTGACAAATTCAGTGTTTTCCCCAGAAGTAGAATCCTGCTTATTTCACTGGCTGTACTTGTGCACAAGCCAAAGTGACTTGCCCTGGAATCCTGTCACTGCTGCCAGTCACAGCAGAATAGATTTGTTTCTTTAAACTGCCTGGTCTCCTCCTCCACCTTCAGAAAAAAAGCACTTAACAAGTATAAATGTGTGAATTCCTCAGAAGTCACTCCAAAGGGAAAAGAACAAACTGTTCTTCTCCCTCACAGATAAAAGCATCAGTTGGGCTTTACTGTATTTCCTTCCAAAATTAAACCTGTTTTTTTGGAATTTAGCATTTACAAATAAAATATTACTGGTCTCTGTGGACTTAGGTTAAAGGTACATGGGACCCTAATGACATATACATGCTCCTGAAACTAAATCCAGAAGTGGAAAAACAAATGGAAGTGGTTTCAACTGAAGTTGACACTACTCATGCTTTGAAAGCTGAATTGCTGCTCACAGACCATTTTGCTGAAATAGAAGAGTATACTCTCTTAGTGGGACAGTTCAAAATCACTACTTTCTCTAAAGCACTTTTTTTTTTTTTATTTGTCCTTAAGCAAGCCTTTTTTTATAAAAAGATTTTTTAAAATGGCCTTAGACAGTCTATTGGAAAACAGCAAATGTTTCCCTGTCCTTCCCAGGAAAGCAGTTGTATTCATTTTCTAGTAATCCAGTGTCTGGTAAACACTGCAACAGCTGCCAGGATGGGAAAGGAAGCGAAAGGAGAGTGAGTTGTACTGAACACTGATTTCATTCACGTGTTGATTTCAAATGAGGAGCAGGCAGGGAAGGGACTTCAAAGGTCTCTTAAGGGGAAAGTTTGTCAGAAATAAATACCCAGGATCCATGGTTACTGTTACAGGTAACACACTGATGGAGTAGCAAACAATGAGAAATGAGTGGCAAAGAACAGGGGTGGCAATCATGTATCATTTGGTGGCACTTGCAGCTTTAAGGTCATGATGAAACAAGGTCCTGAGAATCTTCATCCCACAATAGGGATAAAAAGGGAGCACAAAATGACATCATTAGTGCCAAGTCAGAACTTAAAGTTGAGTGCTCTCGAGACAAACACTATACTATGAAATCTTTCTTTGTACCTCATATGGATACACATATGGATAACAAAACTCTAGCTGGCTAACTAGTAAAACCAGAAAAAATTCTCAGTTACCTATACAGAGCAGGGTGGATTTCCATCTCATTCAACAGAATCTTCTTTTCATAAAAATTTAAATTCTGGCAGAGGTCAAATTGAAGCTATCATACAGCTTCTCATAAAGCTTAACAAGTGCACACAAAATAACCAAATGCAAGGGGAAGACATTTATCACGAATGTGGACATTCAGATGCAACTGGAAACATTCAAGAAACTGCAGAGAACAAGAACATGTAAGAGACAGAGAACTGTAACTTTTTAAATGACATCACCCATAGATTTAATACTGCTTGGAAGCTCTTCAAAGATGGCAGCATATCACAGAGATGGGAGTGCACAATCTCACTGCTTCCTCCTGCAGAGCAGGATGAGTCACTTAGCACAGCCAGAAACATCACTTGATTTTGAGCTTCTGAAATAACCTCTATGCCATACACCATGAAAGAAAAACAACAAATTAGCCATATTACCTGATAAACTAAGAAGTGGCAAAAGCACACCTGGACCTCTAAGTCACAGTACCTAATAAAAAGTAACATAAGAGCATCTCTTTCTTCTACACTTTTTATAGCTGTTCCACAATTCTTTCCTTTTCCCCAGACTACAGATCTCATTGAAGTTTCTGCTGCATTTAATTTCCCAGACATTGGAGCAGTACAAAATCAAGCAGTAACCCCTTTATGATAACTGCATCCCAGATACATTTTTATTCTTCACCCCTAAGTTAGACAGGGTTATCCCTCCTCTCCTAAGACCACAATGCTGTCCACAAGCCTTGGAAGGTGTGGGTCACAGGGAGCTACCCCTGACCTAACATCCATAAACTTGTACCATCTTAAGTCTGTTCTGCAACTGAACAGGGTGATCCTGCTTTCCACACATCCCTGCCCCTTCTTGGGGCTGTTGTCAGTCCCAGTGCCACTCATTCCCATCATACCACCACTTCAGCTGACCTCACCAGTACCTACTCCAGCAAAAAAGGGGGTCTCAAGCAGGCTTCCCCCCTCACCACTATGGATTTAGAGTAACATGTCATCTCAGGAAGTTGTGTTCCCATTGCATAGTTTCAAATAAGGCTGTATAAAGGCTGCTAACAGATAGATCTGTCCCACATCCTTTACAAGCCCCTCCAAACATAGGTCTCACAGGGTGAACACAGTAAAGCACATAACCTACCACAGAAAAATGTCTTCCACAAAATAAGCTCACTGATCCAGCTCATCCTTTTGGCAGGCAGGAGTCAAGGAAGAAGGAAACACAACAAACCCGCTCTGGTGACAGCCCACGGAATTAGATGTAACAGAAGTCATGGTCACCAGCACAATAAAGATTTAAACTGCTGTTCCAGGCACTTTTACTACTTCTTGCAGACATCTACAAAAAGGTAGATGCCTTCTCTTGACATCATTAAGACAATACTATACCCGTTATTATTCCTGACTTGTCCTCCCAAAAGAAGGAAAATACTGAAACAGATTAAAAAACCAATAAAAAGCAGGGATACCTGAGCACCCACAAGCTGCAGCAAGGCTGAGTTCACAGGAAGGAGCTCAATGTCTGTGTTGATAGTGGTCTGGTCAAAGGGACATGCCTTCCGGTGGAGCTTGTTGAGGCACATCTTGCAGACAGTGTGGCCACAGCCCAGGCTGATGGGCTTGCGGATGGTTTCGTCGAAAGTCTGTGTGCAAATCGGGCAGGAGAGAAAATCCGTCCATTGTGGAGCTTGTACAGGCATTGCTTCACCAGTTAATTGACAAGACAAAAATCTAAAGCACAGATTCCACTGGAATCAAAATTTTGCAAAAAAGTCTGTTTGGTTTTAAATATCTTCTGTAAGTACAGACAGTCTGCACATAGTGTGAAACATAACCTAGAAGAAAACAGAAACACAGAGTTAGCATTCTGTACCAGAACAGGCACGGGAGCTCCTTTGTGCTAGGGAAGCACCACTCCTTGAGGAGTAGCTGAATTAAATACAGGACTGAGTCATGACTTGCTTTAGTTCCAGCTAGTCTCTGGCTCTGGAAAAGCCAGTGTAAACCATTCCTGTGGTTACACAGTTTAAAATAAATCATGGAAGATAACTATCACATTGAAGTTGTAAGACTAATTAGCTTCTCGTTTTTATTTTCTCTCTTTAAAAATGAGCAAATAGACATCAACAAAATGTGAATAAAAAAGACAATTCCACTAATCCACTTTTGTACAATATCGACTGTACAAAATAATTAAATATTTAAATAATTTTATTAGACAAGGCTTCATCCAAAGCCTCTATCAGAAGCAACCTTTCTTCAGAGTCCAGCGGGCTCTGGATTGGCACCCAATGACTCCAGAAAGGTGTGAGCTGCCCAAGCCTCGGGGGGGACTGGAGGAATGGCTCAGGGTCAGTCAGACACTGTGCAATGCAGCTCTCACACCTCACTCAGTGACACTGTGTGCTGCTACTCCAGCACCTTCACACAGCCTCACATGTGCTGAGCTCTGTGGTAGCACATGGACCCATCCAGACACATCTCAGTCACCCTGGCAATCTGCATGCATTCCTGCTGGAATTGCACTGTCAACTTGCTCTCTGTTTGCCATCCAGCACCTCCAGCCTTCAAAAACTGGACGACCACTTCTAGCAGTCATTTATGATTGGATATTGTTCCTTAACTGTTCCTTTTGTGACCCCAATTTATATCATTCACTGTCTACATACAGATTACATTCACAGAGAAAGCAACACCTTTACTCTGTAGAGAAACCACACTGGAACTACAATAGAAGAAAAGCTGGGAGTTCTTTACTACTTATTGGCACTTGCAAATCAAATTACTAACAAGATCAAACATTACTCATTATAAGGGAATGGAAGACAAGATATTGCTTTGGGACAGGAAAAAGGCAGAACTCATATAAGTAGAAATGTACAAGAATAGATGGATCACATGACATGAAAAAACCATTATCAAAAAGAAAATTGGTAATTAGTTTCTGACGTCTGGCTTACTTTCACCAGTGGAATACTCATAAATAATTTTCTAAATCAAGGAGCAAAATGACAACAGAAATGCCATCCCAACCACCCATATTTATTAGTTTCTCTTTTCCACACACTACTGGCTTCAGTTTCAAACCAAGGACTGCACACTTACTTGCTAAGTGTCTGTTGTGACAGAAGCTCTGTCATAAGCAAAAGAAACTTTTTATCAAATCTTCTGCTTAAAAAATGTTTACAATTAAAATCTAAATTCTAAAGGCAAAGAGAGAAACTTTATATCAGGACCTGTGCAATTAGAGTCAAGGCATTTTAAAACAGAAAAAAATTTCTAATGCTAAAATAAAGACTGAAAAGCCTCTGCCACTTTTTTTCTGGAAAGAAACAGGCTTCTTTTTTTCAGAATTTAGTGCAATCTTGTCCACAGTTAACATTACTTTGCCAAGGTAAACAATGAAGTGTTACTTGTTAAGCTTTCAGCTGAGTTTCATCAAACACCTAACTTTAGCTCTAAAGCTACTGAAAAGGAGTTGTACTATGAACATGCCTCTGAGTCACTTCCAGCTCAGGATGCTTTATGATTCTAGGGGAAAAATAACTATTTCTCTTTTCAAAAGACAATATACAATGCCACACAGCCTCTGGTTCCCAGCAATAAGGAATCAATAAAAAAATCAGCATTACCCAGGCAGGGTGGCACAAGGAAGAGGTGGCACCATATGTGGTTAACCCTAAACCAGCATTGCACAACAAGATGTCAAGGTTGTTCAGGGTTCCCCCATGCAAAATACTTCTTTAATGGCAAATCAGCCATTTTCTCTCATCTTGTCAGCAAAGGCTCAAATCATTCTCATTACTAATGATCACCACAACCCAAATGAAATCTCCTATACTTTTGGGTTACTACACTGAGAGATTATATCCTAAAGCATTCAGCAAATTTATTTCCAAGCCTTCCCTGGCTACCTGCCCTCCTATATACTAAGTAAAAGTTGGTAACAAGCATTCAAGGTTTACTATCCTTTGTAAACCAAATCTGCAACAGAAATTACCCAGAAACTCTACAGAAATCCTTCTGCAAAGAGCAGCACACAGCCTGGTAAATCTACTGTATGTATGGCTGTGCTATGAAATATCCTTTGGGGATCAAAATTTAAGAGCTGAATCATAGTTCTTCCTTTTGACCACACTGCTATTAGAATATCTAACAACAATTTCCCAGACTTCTCTGCAATTCAGAAACAAACTGAGCAGTCTACTTAAATTATTAGCTAAGCACTCAGGAAAAGAAGTTTTCGATTAGCTGAGGAGATTTAAAACCAGAAGCTAACATGAAGCTGTACCATCAAGTCTAGAAAGCAGATGTGAGCATGGAGACACAACTATCCCAAGCTGTGAACTGGAAAGAAGGAGTTGAATGCAACTTTAATGTTAGTAAACTAATTCAAAAACCCCAGTGAACAGAGCCATGTTGTTGCTACCTGTACCTCTGGCATAATGAAATAGGTCATATTTATTTACAAATTCAACAGTTGAAAGAGAAGTTTGGGGAGTCTGGAGATGAAGGGACTAATTAGTGGCATCCATGATCCTGTGCCAAGACAGGTCTCCAAAGGCTGGGGAACGAGGGAAGCAAAGCTGGTACATAAGCACAGCTCTGAGAGACTCTACAGTGTCTGAGCCTGTGTCCTGGTGCCTAAGTGCCAAAAGAAGGCCACTGACAATAGCACACAGAGCTGTGAGAAACCTCAGAAAGCCATCTACTCCAGCACAGTGTAGCTGCTGCACCAGATGGCTGACTGGGGGGATGCAGCCAACCTTCTCCCCAGAGAGAGAACAGCTGTTGGAACAACGAGCCCTGATCCCACACAGGACAGCAATGGCATCCTGGGGACTGAGCATTCACAAGCACCAAAGCAAGTCCTGGTGGTGGCACAGCTTTCCACATGTATGGCCCTGCTTCCCCCAGATCAACCCTCACACAAGGGAGCAGAGCCAAGCACTGAGACAGATACAATGTAAATCTCTTCCAGGCACAAAGCTCACAGATGTAGAGAGGTGAAGCTGCTGAAGATACTGTGCCTTGTATCAAGGTCTGTGACTCACTGTGACGTTAGAAATAACTGGGAAAAAACAGTCTCTAACTTCAAAGAGCTGCTTTGAATAGGAGACATTACAAATGGCAATTAAACAGTGGAAATAAGACAGTTTCACTACCACTGTCTGCTATTGGAACCATCACCACTATAGAAAGAGAACATTTTGAACATGTGCAGCAGGAAAAGTATATTCACTTTTATAGTATAATGCTTTTTAAAAAAATGTTTATATTCAGCATTATACCAGAGGTAAGCAAATAATAAAGAATGTAAAAAATTACAAAAGACATAATTATTTAAATAGCCCACCTCTCCATAATATTACATTTTTAACCCACACTCAAATCACTAAGTATTTCACACACAATAGCTTCTAACACTGTAAAATGTATCTCCATACACATACCTTTGTGCATGATTAAAGAAAAGAGATAGGTCAAACCCAAGAAAGCAAAAAACTAAAAAGTTTAAAACTAAAAAATTACACTTTTTTGTCTTCCATAAATTGGAAGCCAAAAAGGTGTAATTAAGAATGAAGATGCCCCAAGGCAGAGTTTGAATCCTACACTGAAACTGATTTTGTTATTTCTGAGTTTGAAAATATAAAGTACCTGCATGCAAGTCTCATCCTCCTGTTTACCCCTGCATAAGCTGTTTTACCCACATCTAGAACCACCTGGAAACATTTCTCCTCTCTTCTGGGCCTCCCAGCCCCCAAGAAATCCTTGAAATTCCATCCTTCAACCCAGCCTGGAAATGTCACGCTGTAATCAGATCAGTGACCTGTCTCCTCTGGGACCCTGCCAGTGCTTTAGGGAAAGACCTGATTATTCCATAAACCCCTGGAACAACCACTTCCTCCTCACTCTGCAGGACAATGCAGAGGCTGATGTAGCCTCATGTCCAAGCTGTGTTATGTCTGTGGCAACCAGAGTCTTCCACATGTCCTCTGCAGATTCAACTGTGGACAAAAGACGTTTGTAACATGCAGAACAGTCTGTACCAACACGCACTGGCATCAAGTTCCACACACAATGACACACAGGCAAACTGCTCTGCTTTCAGTGTGAACTCGGTGCACTCTGAGGGAGCCCTTTGGTGCAGGCTCCAAGCACACCCCAAATTCCCTCACAAACATGTTATTTGGAGGCAGCATGCTCTTGCATGGACCCATCACATGCTGTTTCATCACAGCCGAGCTGGCACTGCTCTGTCCCACAGCAGCCCTCACTAAGTCATGGCACACTTTAAGCACATGACTCAGCATACCTAAGGGGCACCCTTGGCTCAGCTCCTGCCAATTCAGTACACAGAGCTCCTAAGAGCATTACTCCCTCCCGAGTTTTACGCATTCCCACAGCATTTCATTACCCAAACAGCATCATCACCTCAACCAAAATTCAGTTAAGCTGAAGCTGCTTCATTTCTGCTGAGTATTACTCCTGGCTAAACTTCCTGTCGCAGTTACCAGCGAGCACAAGTAAAGCCCATTTAGTGCTAAGCTTAACACTACAGCAGCTCCTCATGGCCAAAACAAACTCAGGCTTGCCAACCGATACAACTCTTGAGTAACCATTATTTACTCTAATAAAGAAAACACCATTGCATTAATTCTTTTAAAGACTCTTACTCCTTGATAATAACTTACACTTTTCTGAGAAAAAGAAACTTTTCTGAGAAAAAGTAACCACTTCTCTCTTCTGTGAGACTGGTCCTGTGCTACATTAACTACTTCAAAACCTCTGACACTTCGAAATTAAAAATAAATCAATAACCTAAATTAGATTA